CCAAGGCTGTAGCTGGCCGCCAGCATTGCACCGCCAGGCCTCTTTTGTGGTCTGTGAATGTCTGAGGCTCACTCACCTTCCTCACGAAAGCTTCTGCCGCAAGCCCATTCCAACGTATTGCCGACGCGCTGATTTATATTCAGCTTGATGACTTCAGCACGGACACGTGCCCGTACAGACGGTCACCGCCGTTCATGCGTCGCTTGACGCGAGGCAAACTACGTGGACACAAACGACCTTGACTGAGATCCAACGCAAGCATAAAATCAATCGATCCCACAATCCCTCTCTCTCTCTCTCTCTCTCTCTCTCTCTCTCTCTCTCTCTCTCTCTCTCTTAGACATGCCTTAACATTCAGAACACTCCCCGGTCTCACCAGCGGCTACTGCTTTCTGGGGCAACAATTAGAGTTCCTGTACAGAATACATCCGTCATTCTGGTGTCTTCCTTCTTCTACTGATAACTAGGACTTGGCCTGCCGAATCTGACGGATAGTGTTACAACCGATAACCTAGCCTCGACGGGGTGAGTCTCATTAGCACATACTATGGTTTCATTATACTTTTCAGTTGGCGCCATTTGATACGTAAACGCTATCTTCCACGTTCTAATGGTCAGTCCGATGGTGTAGCGGTCGGCGCTAATCAGATCTCCACTCTGAATCGGTTTCGTTATGCAGCGTACCATCGTCTGAAAATAAAAGGTTTTCGAAGCCTGCCTTGGGTAGTTGCTTCTCGACTGTGTACGCCGAATATTTAGAAACCGTCTATCGGTTCTGTAGCTAGCGTTGATCCTAGGCTAAACCTCACGATAAAAATATGTCAACATGATGCATAAGATAAGATCAACCAAAGGGGGAACATTGCCTCATCATACTTGTAACCTCAGAAACCTCCGACACTGGCCCATCATCATAAATACGCACCATCATCCAGGCTCGCAGTTGCTTGGCCATCTGCGTAAGTAATGCAATACATCGGTACTTCAGTGTTACTTTTCGGAACCAGTCGTAACTCGCGGTATCGCAGATCATAACAATATCAACGAGGATAGTGGAGAGGCACGTCCTCATTTCTTGGTATTTTTTTCATGCAATTGACGGGCCGCAAATACCCTGTCTGCGGTGACACTGTGTATCTGGAGTACTCACTTGATTCTAGAAGACGTTCCTGATCCGAATATGCATTCAGGCGACCGGAAATATGCGAAAAGATGTTTAGGCAGTCGTACTATGAGGGAGAATTAGATAATGATACTAATAATAACAATAATGGCAATGACAATGATGACTATGTTGACAACGAGGACGAAGGAGAAGAAGGTGACGACGACGATGATGATGATGGTGGTGGTGGCGGTGGTGGTGGAGGAGGAGGAGGAGGAGGAGGAGGAGGAGGAGGAGGAGGGGAGTGCTGATGGTCGTATAGGTGGTAATGCTGGCCAAAGGCTTAGCAGACTCATCTTGGTGTTTAAAACAGTACATCGGTGTTGTCCCTCAGAACTTTGCCCAAGTCTGCACATTTAAAAATGCGAGGCCAGATTCTTAAGAGGTCAAGGTTCCTCCTGTTCATAAATGTTGACCAGGACTGAGTCGGCTACCAAAACCTTCCTGCTGGACACCCCTTACACAGCCCCGATCGCCTCCTACAGGGAGTCCGAGGGACCACCTAAAGCGGCTTGCTTATGTCCGTCCCACAGATCGCAGATGGACGGTTGAGGGTGTCCATGGAGTGTATGGTTTTGCCATCTAGAATGCGTGATTTTTTCTTTAGTGACAAGGTTGTGCCCTCCGACATGAACAGCGGTTCATGTCCTTGGGTTAAGGGCTGCAGACTTCGCTGCTGGTCACTGCACTCTTGAAAGTCGACCGATCATTTAGCATCTTCCTCAGCTTAAGGCTGGTTATTGAAGAGCCATAGAAGGATGATTGCAGGTAATTTCTTCCCACGGATTGGAGGCCTCATGGTCATAACACGATCATTCCTTATCTGAAACAGCAGGACAACCGTCTCCTTCTGTCATACTTGATGGCTAAGGCGACTCCAACGTCTCACTGTTCTATCGATGGACTTCCGCTCTAGATGAAGGCGTGTCCCGCACCCACTTATTCCGGTTGTCTCTGTTTAGAGAAGCAGCCGGACTAAGACCCGCGATGTGCTTCTCGTATCAAATCAGTTTGCGGGCGATTAGACCTGTCGTCCATTATGGCCGGTTAGGCATTGTTTCGTCTCCGAATAATAAGTTGCGATCGCTGAAACAAGAGGTTTATTGGCCTGGCTTTTCGGATTCTCGCTCGAAACCATCAGCTGTGACTGTCTCTGATGATGGGCACGAGTGAGAATCCGAAACATTAGGCTAATAGACCTCTTGTTCCAGCGATCATATCTTCTACTAAACCGCTCTCTGGGACTCGTTTCTTTGGTCCAGTCGGCAATTGTGTCGTCTAAAAGCGAACCAACGTTAGGGGATTCCAGACTATCCTCAGATATACCTAGTGACCTCCAATTCCAACTGGAGCTCAGGACTTGTGCAGTGGAGAAAGCACTTGAGTTGGTTTGAACTGCTTACGGGATTACATGTCGCTTTTCTTGTGGTAGTTCTTTAAGGGGTGCTACACGTGGGACCAAACGGAGATTTCTTGGACGTGGAGACACAGTGGATGCCTGCATTCGCTTTAGCTCCTGAGTGGACGTTTTGCAGTTCGCAGGGACACCTATTAGAGCTGGTTTTTAAGTGCAACAAAACAAAAGCATCCGCCACGTTCTTCTGCCGGGTTTGCGACCACCAACAGTGCCTCACTGTGGAACGCCCAACCGAACACAGTGCTGAATCGAGATGACTGTGCTGCTGCAGCGGGAGTCTCCACCCATGACATCTCCTACTGGCCGTATTCCCGGGTCAAGGTTCAATCATTTGATGGCGTCGTACTGCAGATAGTAATGAACCGAGATACCATTTGCATAACCAATTTCCTTCTGCTTGTTTTTATTATGAGACACACTCCTTTGTTTTCAACCTTCCGACTTGCAGTACAATCCGTGTTCAACCCGAAATTTGAGCCGTTTGCCAATAAAATGGAACAAGAACAACACTTTAACTTCCAGGTATTGGGGCTTCACGAATCACAATCATGCAACTTGCACGTGTGGAACAGCGAAATCGTGGTTAAGAAGCCAACTAGCATGCTCCACTTTCGCTGTGGGAGCACCCACGGCAAATCTAGCCGGTAATGGCCGCCTGATAATTGAGGTATTGTCATGAAATTTCAGACAGCACTTTCCACTTTACCATTCTACGGGAGGATATCTCCTCCTCAAGCCTGAGGTGACCATTTTGTTTGCGGTCAAGAGTTACCCCGTTATTGCAATTAACCGTGAATTGTTAGCCAATTCATAGAAAACCCTTGATTAAAATACACTCTACTTGCGGCAAACTGTCATTTACCTTTCAGCCCAATTTTTTGCAATGGAATCGATAGAAATGCCGCGGATTTTCAAATACATTCCTTCCGTCTTTCCTAACTTTTCTCCGTAAACAAACCTTGCTGTCATTGGATTCTTTGTTTTCTTCTTTGAGGAAGTTAGACGGTAAAAATACCAGACAGGTAAACCGAGAACCGGTGACATGGAAATTTGAAATTTTATAAAGTGCGACGGTTAAGAAAGGACAACTGATCTTTTGGGGTGTGTCAGGCTTTCACATATTGAGGTTATCTGTGATCACTTACAAAGGAGATGCAACTTTTACATTGATATTTGATGATTTGCTAAGACTGCCCAAGTTTTGAAGAAAAATAACGAGTTTAAACCCTCTTCTGAGCCAGTAAATTGTCTTTTTCGAGAAAATTGATTCCATGAAGAAAGACTTAATCCACAGGATACATATGAAAATGGGTAAAACCAAAATGTCTGACTAGTTAACGATGTGAAATGTCTGATCTCCGCAGTCGCACGTTCAATGCTGGTGCAGCTCATTGTATGTAAGGTTCCTAATTGTTTGGGTGTCGTTAATATGTTCATTAGGCGCAATTAGTTTTGGATTATGGGGGAAAAGCGTAGTGTTGCTAACCCTAAATACCCCCACCCCAACGACCACTTCCATAATTGGAGTTTGGTTCTATACCTTTCGCAATGGCTTACTAGACTTCAGAGTAGAAGCTTTTAAAAAACCCATATGTGTAGGTATACGCGGTTATACGTGCGCCCGCCTTGGTAATTCGTGCGCATGGGATGTCCAACAAACTGGGCACACCTTCATGCCTGCCTGCCTGTACGCAGCGGCCATTCCGCGCTGTCCAGACCTGACACGCAACTCTCATCTGCAACCTCACGAAACTCTGTTTATTGGGCGGTCATACCCCAGTAACGATACTGACCGGCGTGCTATGGTGTGTTTAGTAGCTGCGTAGTGGCACGCGTAGAGAGGGGCTTCTTATCAGGCCAGTCTCAGATTAAGGTAGCAGTAGATAAATTCTGCGGCGAGTACAACGAGTAATTATACAGGCGGTCTGAACTAACTGAGATTGTCGTCCTAATTAGCAAGAAGAGTCGTGTGTTATAGTAAACTTCGACACCCACTTTAAATATCTGAACATCCCTATTTAGGTAAGGTCTGCTAAGCCTGAATGGAAAAAAATTGCTTCTGAAAATGTTGATTATCATGAAATCCACACGATAATACTGTTTAGGAACCTCTGATTGCGAATGACGTCGAATGTTCGAATTACAGGTCTATGTATGAGTAAGAAGGAAGAGAACTGATCGAGCACCGGAAACATTTGTTTGTTTGTCCGAGTTTTCTAAAACGTGCAGAGTTCCGTCTTCAGAGGTAAAAGCAGCAGCAGAACAGGCGACAGTTATAGGAGTACCTGCCAAACAACGATCAATGACGCATGTATGGAAGTTGTTGTGTAGGCAATGCGTACCGGCGCCAGAACTGGATATCGATTGACTGAGCTCTCACCTGTGACTCAGACTTTAGTCAATTCTCGGCGAGTCTGGTTTCCGGTGCGGACGATTTCATTGATGACTGTGACGTTTAACTCGTGACGTACTTTTAGGTTTTGGGCATCCATTTGCAGTAATTTGTCGGCTCATCGCACAGCGACTTGAGCACGCATTCAGTCTGACCTGTGTAAATACAAGCCGAGTTTGGGCACGGGATACGATACACTACGCCTGATCGCTTATCGGGATTTCATAACCCTGCTGCGCATGGTAACGTTGGGTCGACAGGCAATTCGGTAAGGATCGGGTGAAGGCCTCCAAGCATCTGTAGCAGACAAAGAATGCCTACTATACATATTTAAGTGGGTTTTAGTCCGACAAGATTATTTCGGTTTGATTTTTCATCGTACAAGGTTGGGTCGTCTGTTGTAGACCGTCTGGTGCATTATCTACAATGACCTCAGCTCAAAGAGTTGGGAAGCGATCATTGTAGGCACGTAGTGTTTACTTTTTAACTGTCCTGCTCAATCTTGTTTGCTATATGTATTAAAACGTTTCCGCCGAAAAACGAATTTACCCATTATCTATATTTATTTTGTCATTCCTCTATGCGCACATAAGCTCCTGCCGTAAAACACCTACTACCACCTTTCCCGTACGACAGGCACTTCTGCGTGTGTTTGGGGTCCTTCACCCGATCATGGCCGGCAATTCCAACACCACTGACGAAGCAATACACTCGGCTGCCTCTGAAACGCCCTTTATGTGTGCAGTGCATGTCATGTCATCGGTGGAGTTTCTATTTGGGTCATCCGGAGGCAAATAGGTAGGCATCGGCTAATGAACGCTATCAGATAGACATTCCGCATAAGCTGTTCAGATAACTATCGGGTCTAGAATGCTTTTTCTTGCGTGTTGGTGTGGTGAGTCTGGATCCGCGTAAAGAGCGTTTTCCCACAGCTTCCTATGTGAAGAACTAATTATCCACGAGACAGATGCTTCGAAAACTGAGGAGTTAAATGGTCTTTGTTGCCGTCCTGGAAATCGTTGTCTCTATATCGTCATTAGGACTTCGCCTGACGAGCACATCAAGGAGGACAGGTGCTGTCTCCTTCCGTCTTTCCTCGGGAATTATATATCTGGGGACATTAATTTGGCCAGATTATGGTACCTCTACGGCATATTCTTCCTGATGGAAACAAACGTGTGGACAAAGTTACGGCACCGAAAGACCGGCTTCTGCTGAATGAACTCAGTTTCTTAGGTGTTGCAAGATACGTTATGCCACTAAACAGGTGATTTGCGAATCCGCTGGAGTTTCCTTGATCTGCTTATAGGTCTCTCCCGGAGGGGTGGAGTATGCTTTTGTCAAAACTCGAATAGCCCAGAAAAATTCCCACTGTGAGCGGGTTCTGAATTTCGTCATATGCCTCAAGTTTCTTTTGCGACACTTTGTGCGCCAAATTCGGTGGGATGGATGGGAATAACGATGTCACGTTGAAAGAAACCATTATT